AAACCACTTTTTAAAAAGGATAATATATTGCAGATAATATATTGCTTAGTTGTTTTTTTCCCCAATGGAAAAACAAATTAAAATGCATCCTTAAAGTAGTGCAAATATTTTTCCTCAACAATAATTTTAACTAGTCATTGCAGTCAATGAGAAGATTCTCCTTGATTTCAGTTACCCTTAAAATTAGCATTTATAGCCTAATTCTGCAGCATTCAAATTTATGGAAGCTTTACAATTAGCTACAATGCGTGTAGGATCAGGCTCAACAATTTCAGTTCTGCAAGGCACTTTAACATGCATCTACTCTTCAAGCAGGTGTAGTGCCACTGAAATTAATGTAATTACTTGCGACTAAAATTAGACATGTTTAAGTTCCTTGCTGATTTAAGGCCAGTGTTCAGCATATTCCAGGATTAAGGATTTAGTAGGTATTTGAAGACTGCTCCATTGATATAACAGAGCATGAGGCACATCTATCAAGTCTGTTATCTGCAAAGTGACAAAGATTATGTAGAGGGTAATAGATCAATAGAAAATCATACACAGTGCAATCTCCAATGAAAAATACACTACTGAAAAAGTACCTGTCTACACATCAGATAAGTATGTGCTTAGCCCAAAAAGATCATTTGTGTGTTAAACTCCTGAAATATTGACAACTTTGCTCATTCAAAAATAAATGAGTCAGGTCCCAATATATCACAAGGTTGGATTTGTAAAAATGTAATACATTTGAGGTACTCTTTATTTGCCTGCTAGAGCTTAAGCATTTCAGATCCACATTTTCAAGGTTTTCTGCACAGAAAAAATAAAAACTCAAGTTTATTGAGCAATGACCTAATCCAAGCTTGAAAGGCTTTACAAAAAATGGAAAATATTGCATGTCTCTCAATAAAATCACAAGAGTTTGTGGCACTGCTCCTAGTTTCACTTGACCACCTTCTCCTAAAATCAATTCTTATTGTACTGAACTTTGCATGGTTGAATTTAACTGCATCCCTCCCACCCACTCCACCCCTCCTGCAAAAAACATAAATAGAGGTTTCAGCTAAATTTATGGAGTTGGGGGTTTTAGCCTCATGCATCTCAACTAGGCAATCAGACTATTGTGAATCAACTCAAGCCAGCGATCTGTGGGCATCTATACACATGCTCTGGGGTGGAGAGGGGACACTTTAATTAGAGCAGGTCTGAGAGCTGCTCTAATTAAAGCTCCCACAGCATCACGTGTATTCAGCATCCCACACTTCAAAATGGCAGCAGGCATGCTTTAACTAAAGCTTGTTCAATGAGCTGTAGTTAAAGCACCCCTGCTGCCATCTTGAAACACAGGGATGCTGAATACATGTGACACAGACTTGATTAACTGAGTTTTCTCCGACATGTGCTAATTAGCATGCATCAGAGCAGAAGTCCATCACATGTATAAGTGCCCTATGATGTGGGCTGGAGTGTTTCAAGAGAGGCTAGAAATAGCAAAAGGAACAGGATTTCTTTTAGCAGGTAACAAGACCCATGATGATCTTTCAAAGACGGATCAACCCGGTTGTGGGAGGGACAAGGAGACAAAAATATTGTTGGACATGTTAACTGTGGTTTCATAATATTTATTTGGAAAACCCTGAGGCAGAGTTTTTTTCTGTCATTTCAGGAAGAAGCTGTAGAAGAGATGCTTTTGGAAATACCATCCCAGTAGCCAGCGTTGCATAACAAAATCCCCACTTCTAATATTCACACTGATTGGTATCAGTATTAGTTTAGCATTTAAAATGTCTGACTGTTGACACTAAAGGTTATGCTACTTCTCTAAGTTTTACTTTATAGAGTTACTAGTGCATACTGATTATATAGACAGACTGCAAAAGATACTATTCGTTTGTTTAAACTTTGAATGAAATATGTTTGTCATCTCAGCCTCTGTTTTTTAGAGCTCTTTAAATGCACTACCATATATTGCCATTGTACTATATTACATTGTTTCATAATTACACAATGTTTTGCTTAGCACTGCAAGAGTTTCAATCAGTGCTGAGGAGCAGATGTTCTGCAGATTTATGAATGTAGCATACATGGAGCCCACATCCTGCTTCATTCTGGGTTATCTCTAGTCTTCCTGTCTGTCTACCACACTCCCCTTAATTATATGTTTCTGCCTTTCTCTGATAGACCAATGAAGTCAAGGGAACTCAGACATTTGTGAAGGGTTCTTCCATGTTTATTGGCAGCAAACAGCTACCAAACAGTTGCACTATGCTGCCTTGAAAAACAGAAGATGGTCATTTTATCTATATATAGGAGCACTGAAAATCAACAGTCTGCTAGCCTTTATACATGTAGGCTGCATCCAGATGATCTGGGCCATGAGCTTATAGCAGCACAAATTTGTGCCACTACGTTGTGCCATAATGCATTCCCCTGAAGATGTGCTGTGTTGCAGAACACATTGTCCTGCTGCGGGAAACTGCCCATGCCCAGCTCCTCCCAGCTCTCGGTGTGCTCCATGTGCTGTGAGGAGGGGCTGGCAGGGGCACAGAGTACCTCAGTACAGGGCTAGCCAGCAGGTGCATTGAGGCACCCTGTGCCCCAGCCAGCCAGGGAATGGCATGTGGAGACCTGGAAGCAGGAAACCTGCTCCCCTGTCCTGAGGCTCACTGTGCCCCAGCCAGCTGTCCACAGCTGACTGGGGTGTGGTCTACATCAGCATGGGGACTCCACAGCATGTAGAGAGAGGCTACCTGCTCCCATGGCTGCCTGCTTCCCTGTCTCCACGTTTATCCCAGTGCACACTCTTTTGGTGTGCTTTGCATCACTTTTCTTTTCCAGGGCTTTTTGGGTTTTGCGGGGGGGAGGGGAGGTTGCTTTTTTGCTACTGGGAAATCCCAGTAGCAAATTTTGCCCCTGTGCTGAAAATTAGTAGTGTCATGTGTGGTTTAATGTACAATGTGTGCAGTTTGTGGAACCACAAAGAAACATTGCATTTGGATGAACCTGGCTCACCCAACATATGTATATATCGAGCAAGTTAGACGGGCTTTTTTGGTGCTTTTATCTAGTAGCTGATTGAATCGGCTTGAGATAAAAATTCCAAAAAGCCCTCCCCACATTAGTTCGACCCAGCTCTGCAGGTTTTGTATAGATTGCATGCTTCAGTGGGACTTTCCGGCATTTTTATCTAAAGCTGATTCAATCAGCTACTAAATAAAAGCACCATAATGCCCCACTAAAGCGCCCAATCTATACAGATGTTGGGTGAGCCAGGTTCAGCTAATGCAATGCTTCTTCTGGGCATGCATTGTGCTCTGCGTGTGGGTATGCAGAATTTAAAGTGCTGGGGGTTTTTTACATCTGTCAGCTGCCTACTACATGGATGCCTCTCCATGAATTATTGGGTGGACTGGCATTGTTCCAGGAAACAGTCTGACACTAGAAATGATAGTATCTCCAACACCCTCCTCTACTTTTGCATGTGGGAGATAATATAGCTGGGTACTCCGTTACCTTCACAGCTGCTACTGAATAGTGACAGGGGGTTTCAGTCTGTATCAGCAAGATCCTATTGAAGCCATACTTTCACTAAGGTGAAGAATATACAAAGCAAAATGTTTCCCTGGCTCCACATAGCAGAAAAGGTGCTTTCTCCATGGATCCTTGAAGCCTTTAGTGCTGGGAAAAGACTGAAGTCCCTCAAACATTTCCAGCAGTGGACAGTGCCAGAACAATACCACAAAGGGAATGTAAGTATTTCCTTCCTTTCTATCTTTTTTGTTATTCTGTACAAGGGATGATTTAAGCCACACTGTGGAAAGACAGTTTTTAGCCCTTACAAGACAGTCTCTGAATTCCTTAAAGACAAACTTTATAGAGAGAATGCACTGCGTCTCCTTGATTGGCTCTGTGCTATTTGGTTTGACATATCCAACACTAAAAACAAGACATCTCTGGCAAATAATTAAATTGGGTGCAGACAGCCAAAATCTGTCTCCTGTGGGCCTGCACAATGCTCATAGTCATAGATCTCATTCAGTACTTTAAGGTCCTTAATTTAGCACAGTCCTACAATGAATATTAGCATTTTACATGTAAAACTTCATCCTTTGGGAATCAAAATTGTGAGTTATTTTCTAAAGCGTGGCCAAGATAAATCTGATTATTTAAAACAATTATTTGTAAGTGTTGACAAAGGTAATAACATTTTAAACATGAAAGCAAAGGGGAACATTTTCATATTTCATTTCCAACTTCTGTAAAGGAAACTCTTTCATGCTTAAAATTCAAAGTCAGCATGTCTAATAATGCCACTGGTACAAGGAGTCAAATTACCTACAATAGCCTGAAAAAGTATTTGAATATTACTGAGATAATACCCCAGTAATTTTTATGCAGGATCTAGGTTGGATTGGAATCGCCCATTTCAAAATTAAAGAGAGAACATTTTGTGACTGCAAAACACCATTTAAGCAATGTATGACTCAATTTAAGGTAGTGTCCAAAAATTAAATAAAGCAGTAGGAAAGCAATGTTAACAGAAGGACCTACATTTTCACTGTTAACATCTATTTGGCCTGAATGTCCCACAGTTATAAAATACTTGAGAGTACCTATATAGAAAAAATATGTATGCTATATTTAAAGGGAGGAATACTAAGCCATTGCACTGAAGTCTGTTTAACAGTTTCTGTAAATGATATTATCTGTATATAAAAGATTACTGCAAGAGAGAGAGAGAGAATTTATAACCCATCCATTTCTAATCCTTTGCTTTTTCCTCAGTAACTCAAAGCCACCTGCTGGTTGTTTGCTTGCTGTACCACTCAGAACTGGAGGATGAAATACATGATATAATGTCACAAGGGAGATGGATGAAACACTAGCCTCACTGAAGTCAAAAAGGAGTTCTCCATTTGCTTCACTGAGGCTTTTTGAAATTTTATTTGAATAAGTGTAATTGCCATTTGTTTTAGTTTCCTTTTCAGCATGGTAGGGAAAAAACTTTCACTTACGTGTATAAAGATTTGTTTTGTTGCCATTCTTCTTCTGCTACTGGAAGGCAGCCCTGATAACTCTATCACTAAGTGGCTGGGTTGGTCTAAAGTTATCTCCTAATATTCCATCACAGCCTTCTAAAAGTTCTGCACCTTTAACATGGGTCCTCAGTCTTCGAAACTCTTCTATCTGAAAAGGCAAAAAAAAATGTATTTCTTAGATACTTCATTTGTTTTATGGGGAAAATAACAGAAAAGGAGTCTTCACCCAACCTCTAAGATTGTATGCATGGTGTGTGTGTCCAAATATCCAAAAATATAAATTTTTATGATAAAGTTCTAAAAAAAAAAAAGTTCTTCCAGTTTTACTGCAAAATGACAATTGCACATACAAAATAGATAGCAATGTAGCCCAAATCAGAGCATCGTTTGAATGTTTCTTTCTGCATATTTTGTTATAGTTTGTTCTATCCTCCCTACCCAGCATTTTATTGAAGATTAGCTTCTATGTATGCAATAAGACAATAGACCGGGGACACACGCTGCTCATTCTGATCTAACTTAGATAAGTGTCAAATTAGGAATAACTCCATTCATTAGGATGGGTTATGTATTTTATGGTGGGGTTTTTTTCTTCTTTCTTTAGTCACTGAAAATTAGATTAATCTGAAATAATTTGTAAAACATGGTGGTCATCATCACGGGTGCCTATACACAAGCAAGGAGGCTGCTCCAATGTGCTGCAATTCCAGCACACGGGAGCAGACTCAATTAATTAACTCATTTAATCGAGTCTGCTGGAGCATGGCAATTACCACATTCCAGCAGCCTCCGACATCTTGTGTATCAGTGTCCCTGCACTTCAAAATATTAGCGGGGTGCTTTAATTAAAGCTCGCTTGAGCTTTAGATGAAGTGCCCTGCCACCATTTCGAAGCATAGGGATGATGATACATGAGATGCTCCAAGTGCTTTAGTTAGAGTAGCTCTTGGAGCTGCTCTAATTAAAGCACGTGCCCTGCCAGTCCTGGAGCACATGTATAAATGTCCTATGTCCCATTTCAGCGTGTTCTAAATGAGACCTTTTTAGAGTCAAAAATGAGTTTTGTTTCAAGAAAATTTTTCAAAGTTCTAAATCAAAATAAATGGTTTTTAATTTGGTTTTTGTTCTTTGATATGGTGGCAAAATTCAGAGACCAGATTCTCTCCAAACCCAGAATAAAACCAATGGAAGAAGCTTTTTGCAAGGGTATTTCTGCAACAATTGCTTCTCACAGGGAGTTGTGTGCATGTTTAAAAAGCCATTTAAAGGGCTAGCCATCTATGCCAAGCTTTTCTGATTCTATTCAGACACCCAACTCCCAGAGAGGAACTCTACAGAAAAATGATGGTGTGCACAGCTATATTACCATTTCTAAGTAACTTTTGTGAGGTCAGGATGGAGGTGACATGTCACCCTGCCAAATTGTGCTCCCAGCCCAACCATTCTTCCCCTCCCCCTATACGATCCTTTTCCACTCTCCCTGACAGCCTAGGGTGTATACACACAGACTAAGTCAACTTAAAATAAAGCAACTTAACTAAGTCAACTTAAGCCATATCGGAGCATACAGCTCCTTGACATGGTGGCAGTTATCTTGTGAGTTAAACTAATTTAACTAATGTATGTGACTCAAGACAACACATGTCAGAGGTGTATTATCTTGCTCCACATTTAAGTTGACGCTGCTCCACATATTTGTGTACACTCTGACAGTAAAGCTGACTTTAAAAAGTTAAGTCAGCTTAACCGTCAGAAAGTTAGTACATGTGTATGCACCCCTAGACCCCTTTAAGTAAAAATATAAGGCTCTGCAAGGCCCCAGATCTTAGAGTAAGATGCTAAAAGGTAATGAGTGGCATTTTCTAGCCTCCTATTGGGGTGGGGAAATGGTTTCCTAATGTAACTCAGAAGATAACTGCCATTGCTGTTCTTATCATCGACAAAATAATATAGATACAGATTTATTTATTTGATTTACTGTCTAGCTGTGCTCTGTTGCTTTTTTTTCTTCAGAAAGCAGAATATTTAGAAATCACTATCTGTCTGACTTTGGATGCTGAGAAGGAAGGGGCAGTTTGTACTAAAAAGATGAAAGGAAGGAAGAGCAGAGAAGTTCTTTTTAACATGCTTTTGAAGACAGACCCATGTACTTTTCAATTTATTTTATGTTTATTCAACTCAAACTGCACCTAAAAACAAATATATTATAGGCTTTAGGACTGAAGAAACCTGCGGAAGTCAAGTGCTAGTAGATAACTAATGCTAGTCAAGCACTAGTAGATACTGCAGATACTCCTTCTGCCTGAAGAGAAGGGTGTTTGTACCTGAAAGCTTGCAAAGAAGAATTTTTCCAACTATTTTAGTTAGTCTAATAAAATGTATCAGATTTACCCAAAGAACCTTGTCTGTCAGTAGGAAACTAAGTAGCTTTCATGAAAGTAGCCTCTTCCATTGGAGCTGAACTGAATCAACGCAGGAACAGGCTGGAATCTATGATATAGATACAGATTTATTTATTTGATTTACTGTCTAGCTGTCCTCTGTTGCTTTTAGTTTGGGATGAGGTATTTTACAAGATAACAGGTTTTGTTTGATCTCTTGAGAATTAGAGACTTCAAATAAATGTGAATCAAAAAAAGACTCTGTAAAGCCAGTATTTCTGAACTACCCATCCAAACTTCAAGTGCTCTGCAACGTATGCTGGGTGAGACTGGCTTTCCTTGCAGTAAATTCCTTTTCCAGGAGATATTCCTTAAAGTTGCTCCCATGTTGTTAAATCAGGAGGATGGGATTCATGCCAAGCTGTGCTTTGATCTCCAGAATGTTCATGGTCATTATTGAAGTCCTTGTGCATTAACTGGAGCATCAGGTTTTGAGGCCCAGTGTAGGTCAGATACAAAACCAGAGGCTGTACCAACTGTGACCACTGTTCATGTGCACATGCCCACTGAAGAAGTGGTTCTGTGAGAGCTAATACAGACCCAGGCTATATTATATTTTTCATATAATCGCTAGAGTGAATAAGTGTGCTCCACTGCCCAAGCAACACTTTCACGCCTGCCTGTCCCTTCCTCCATACTTCCATTCCTGACTCCTTCCATGGATACTGTGAAATGTCCTCTGCAGGACCCAGAAGTTACTTGCACTTAGTACTAGTATCTTTTACAGGAGACTGGGGAGATCAATTTACAGGTATTTCCTCTATTATCAGATCTTATCTTCTAGAAACAGGTTCTGTCCTATTCCCAGAGAAGGATCAAGACCATAGCATCAATGCAGCAGAATAGCAAAATGGGATAAAGCTTTTTGGAATATTAAACATAGCTCATCATAAAGCTGAAGCCAAAAATTAAATTGGTTTTTATGTTGCAGAAACTTTTCTTCTATTTCCCCCCGTTTCCAACTTCCGTTTTTGCTTAATGCAGTATTGCAAATAAATGTATATTTTCTGCATAATAGAATATGAAAAACAAAGTACATTAATGCATTTCCTTGGTAAAAGTCACCTTTTTCAGGAAAACAGGCTGAAGGTCACTTAAAACGTGCTTTCTTCAGTTTAAATTTTTTCTACATCTTACTTCTACTGTCTATGGAAATGGGTATAGATTATAATGGAATGAAATAACATAAATGCCTTTTAGTTCTTTATCGTACTACACTGATTTTGCACATTTCCAATTACAACCCTCTGTACCAGTGAATATTTCTGTTCTTTAAAAATGAGGAGTATAGAATGAGCTACACAATGGGGTCAGAAATCCTGCCATTCAGTACTAAGCCATCGAACTATGGCAGTGGGTACAGGAGAATGACAGCTGCTGACTGCATCATTGTTAAAATGCAACCTTCTAATTGGCTCAGAGGATGCACTTGTTTTATGCTTCAGTGAACCACAAAAATTATTTATAAATGTTCTGTGTGAAAAAAAATTGCGGGGAAAAAGTATGAACAACCTTTTCCTATTTTTCATTTTCTTTATGAGGATAATATTAGGGAGTGTATTATGATGCTGTTGTGTTTCTCCAGTGCGCAGAAATATACTCAGTGTCTCATAGAAAAAAAACAAGACACTTCATCCTTAGAGAAGAAACAGTAAGCTTATCATGAAACACATGAGGTTCATAAACTGACAGAAGGAGTGCAATGGGGAAAGCTGGAAATATATGGGTGTGTTTTTCCAGTAAAATCTAGATTTCTTCAGAAACCAATGACAAAGCTCCAAAAGCTAGATTGTAAAGTCTTTGCTCTTACAGGTACACAAGTTATTTCAGATATCAGTTGACCCTAGAGAACAGGAATTTCACAAACTGTGCTGAGCAGACTTCAGTGGGAGCAAAATCAGGCCTTAAAGCCTGATGGTTTCATTCCTTCTTTGTTGTCTAGATACTCGTTTCAGCTCAACCATTCTGATCTGAACTAATGAAATCACATCATTATAAAAAATAGTCATCAGTACAAGTAGAATAAAGACCCCTTTTCTGAATATTTCTCAATTTACCATACTAATTTCTAAACCAAACTAATTTTTAGAATCTGGGAATTATAGAAAAGTAGGGCGAGAAAGGGCTTCTGGAGCTCATCTAGTCCAGCACCCTGCTCAAAGAAGGATCATCCCAACAAGTCCTTGTATAACCTATTCCTAAAACTGCACAATCAGCCCTCTTACACAACTACAAGGCATATTGACCAAGGAAACCAAAAGCACTCTAACCTGCTACAGATAAAGCAGGTAGGCAAGGGCCATCAGTGATCCAGCACTTCACGGGTTGTTAAAATGCATTCAAGAGATCAAAGTAAGAAAGCCATGCCTCCTGTTGCAGAGGAAAGCAAAAACCCATACAGTCCATACCAGTCTGACCATGGAATAAAATTCCTTCCTGTAGAGTGGCAAGACCCTCTATATTTAAATCTCCTGGTTTTAATTCCAGCAGGAACACTGGCATGTTCCAGTAAAAAACCCCAGCCTGAGCTGTAGCCAACACCCTGCTGAGGAAGGCAAAAAAAAAAAAGTTCTGACCCCTGCAGAAACAGAAAGAAAACATTTCTTCCTGGACCTATGCGGCAACCAGCAAAGCCCAGAAGCATGGAAAAAACAAATGCTCTCCATTCTGTTCTGCAACACAGGGTTAGAAAACAACTTCATGTATC